ATAAAGAAAATGATCCTATTTACAGTTCCATCAAAAACAATAAAATACTTAGGAATAAATTTAACCAAGGACATGAAAGATCTCTACACTGAAAACCATCAAAACAAGACATGAATGAAAGAAAGTGAAGTAGATACAAATAAATGGAACGCTATCCTGTGCTCATGAATTGGAAGATTTAAAAATTTTCCATATTACTTAAAGCCATCTATAGATTCAATGCTATCCCTATCAAGATTCCAATGGCATTTTTTACAGAAGTAGAAAAAAACAACACTAAAATTTATATGGAAGCACAAAAGACTCTGAATAGCTAAAGCAATCCTGAGAAAGAAGTACAAAGTGGGTAGCATCACATTTTCTGATTACAAGCTATATTATAAAGCTGCAGTTATCAAAACAGTATGGTAGGGCTTCCCTGGTGGCACAGTGGTTGAGAGTCTGCCTGCCAATGTTCATGCCCCGGTCCAGGAAGATCCCACATGCCGCGGAGCGGCTGGGCCCGTGAGCCATGGCCGCTGGGCCTGCGCGTCCGGAGCCTGTGCTCTGCAGCGGGAGAGGCCACAACAGTGAGAGGCCCACGTACCGCAAAAAAAAAACAAACAAAAAAAACAGTATGGTAACGGCATTAAAACAGACACACACCGATGGAACAGAATCAAGAGCCCAGAAATAAACCCAGTGATATACAGTCAAGCAATATTTCACAAGGGAGCCAAGAATACTCAATGGAGAAAAGACAGTCTTTCCAATAAATACTGCTGGTAAAATTGAATATTCACGTGCAAAAGAATGAAAGTAGACGCCTATCTTACACCACTCACAAAAATTAACTTGAAATGGATTAAAGACTTGACTGTAAGACTAGAAACAATAAAACTCCTAGAAAATAATATAGACAGTAAGCTCTATGATATCAGTCTTTGCAATGATTTTTTGGATATGACAAACCACCAACAAAATAAAAAATAAACAAGTGGGACTACATCAAAGTAAAAAGCTTCTGCACAGCAAATGAAACCATTAACAAAAATGAAAGGATAACCTACAAAATGGGAAAAAAAATTTGTAAACCATATATAAGAGGTTAGTACCTAAAATATATAAACAACTTGCAACTCAACAGCAAAAAATAAATAAGTAAATAATAATCTAATTAAAAACGGGCAAAGGACCTGAATAGACATTTCTCCAATAAAGAAAGATATGAAAGGCCAACAGGTACATGAAAAGCTGTCACCATCACTAACCATTAGGGAAATACAAACCAAAACCACAATAAGACACCACTTCACACCAATCAGAACGTCTTAACATCAAAAGGACAAGAGATAATAAATGCTGACAAGGATGTGGAGAAAAGGGTACCCCTGTGTACTGTTGGTGAAATTATAGATTGGTACAGCCACTATGGTGAATAGTATGGAGGTTCCTCAAAAAATTAAAGAACAGAACTACAACATGATACAGCAATTCCACTTCTGGGAATATATCTGAAGTAAATGAAAACACTATGTCAAGGAGGTATCTGCACCTCCATGTTCATAGCAGCATTCGTTTACATGGAAACAACCTAAGTGTTCATCAAGGGATGAATGGATAAAGAAGTTGTGATACATACACACACACACACACACACACACACACAGATGTTATTCAGCCATAAAGAAGGTGGAAATCCTGGGACAACACAGAAGGATCTGGGACAACACAGACATATCTTAAGGGCATTATGCTAAGTGAAAGAAATAAGTCAGTCAGAGAAAGACAAATACTGTATGATCTCATTTATATATGAAATCTAAAAAAAAGAAAAAAACCAAACTCGTACAAAAAGAGATCAGATTTGTGGCTCCCAGAGGCAGACAGTGAGGTGGAGGGGAAATTGGAAGATGTGGTCAAAAGGTATAAACTTCCAGTTATAAGATAAATAAGTACTAGGGAAGTAACGTACAACATGATGACTATAGTTTACACTGTTATATGGTATACATCAAAGTTGTTAAGTGAATAAATCCTGAGTTCTCATTACAAGGGAAAAATTTTTTTCTCTTTTTTTTTTTTTTGTATCTACATGAGATGATGGATGTTAACTAAACTTGTGGTAATCATTTCACAGTGTTATCTAAGTCAATTCATTATGCTGTACATCTTAAACTTATATAATGCTGTATGTCAATTTTATCTCAATAAAACTGAGAAAAAATGTTTAAATCCCCTTTATAAGCCATCATCTCAGGGTGCATAGCATTCTCCCTCAAACTCAGGCTTTCACAACTAATGCAGAGGCAATGTAAAGAACTAGATTGCTGAGGAGGGGCTGTGTCATGGCTGTGGCTGGGTAGTCCTGCTCTGGGTGACCCTGAGGCTTCTGCGTTTCTGCAGCCTTGTCTCCCCAGAATAAAATGGGAGCATCATTTGCCTGATGACAGATTCCCCAGGCTTTTGCAATATTAGGCACTACAGTTCAACAAAAAGGACTGAAGACTATCTAACAAATCTAATTATTCCTTTACAACATTAACTCCCAAAACACACTAAAAATGCAGTAAAATATATAGAAAATGAGCTCCATGGTATCTCTTATGTATACCTAAAACAATTTTAATATTTATTTATTATTTGGCTGCGTCAGGTCTTAGTTGCAGCACGTGGGATCATTTCTGTGGTATGCAGGATCTTTTGTTGTGGCACATGGGCTCTTCTTTGCAGTGCCTGGGCTCAGCAGTTGCAGTGCACAGGCTCTCTAGTTGTGGCATGTGGGCTCCAGAGCATTCAGTGCAGTGTACAGGCTCTCTAGCTGTGGCGTATAGGGTCCAGGGCGTATGGGCTCAGCACTTGCAGCACACAGGCTTAACTGCCCCCCAGCATGTGGGATCTTAGTTCCCCAACCAGGGATCGTGTCCCCTGCATTTGAAGGTGGATTCTTAACCACTGGACCACCAAGAGAGTCTCCTTAATAAAAGTTTTAAAGTATGTTATGCAGACCAATCAGCAAGACTGTACTTGTTACTACTTGTTCTTCACCTGCTGGGGTAACCTTGGGCCCAAGCCCTGGACAGGCCTCACCCCTTGGACACGGACACTTCCATTTTCTCCAACATCATCCCACATCTTTTAACTCTGAATTACCAACTCCCTTATTAAAAAGGAGGAATCAATTTTCCTTCACAGAAGAAATTATTTTATTCCATTTGAAAAAAAGTATACAGGTATTCATTCTTTGCCTGGCAAAAGTCATTTTCTCATGAGAGTCTGAGTCCTGCCTGGCGAATTTAATGGTGACAAATGGTTAGAGAAACCTATGGCCCTCAGGGGCACAGTGCACACAAACGTTTGGCTGGAAAAGCATTTACATGATCAAAACATTTCCTATAGCAAAGGCTGATAAGTTCATTTTATCCTGAAGATCATTTTTGCTTTTGAAGAAAACATTTAATTTTGAAGATAATTTAAATTTGCTAATTGAACCCAGGGCAAAATAGTTTTTCACATAACTGGGAGGAGAATGAAACTGAAGCCCACCTCAGGTACTTCTCTGCCACATTCTTACATGATGAGCTTTTTAAATTGATCTCTAGGCTGAATGTGTCAAATGCCTTAAACCTGCCTAAAACCCAAGAGCAGCATGTTTTCCTCCCTGGAGACAGACCTCCCTAAGGCTGAGCCACCAGCCACCCTGGCCAATTTCCACTCCTTCAAGGGACCGAGGCAGGCTCCTGCCCTCACCCCATTCACCCTTGCTCCACCAGCAAGGTCTCAGAGGCCAACCCATGCCCTCCACGAGCCTCTGAACTTAGCACCACTGCTGCCTTGTCATAGAAGGAGATGGGCAAACCCCCAGGCCCCTATTTTTATGGTCTTCCACAGCAAGGGTCACCTCTAGGCCCTCCGTTAAGTGTTCAATATTTTAACATTATGAGCTACATTGTATTCACCCAAGGAAAAGTGACTGAGCCCCGTTCCTGTTCTGTGGCTCTAGAAGTCCTAAGGCTGGAGTCAAGGAAGCAGCAGGAAGCAAGCCCATTCTCCCTGTACCACTCTTCCAGACACATACAGGGGCCAGTAAAAGCTGGATTGATGACTGTTCAGCCTTAGAAGTGTCACATGTTGGGACCTCTGTGAGAGGCACTCATCCTTCTCCCTATACCTACTCCACTCCAGACACTGACCAGAAAGAGATCCTTCCAAGAATGCTGATGGGGACTCCAGTTAGCAGTCACTATGGAAATGCTCCTCAGGTGAAACAGGGCCATGGCCTCCAAATGTCCTGGCCAGGAAGTGCTTAAAACATGCCTGTGTGTCACATTAAGGAGCTCTAAAATTACAAGGAACAGAACTGCTATTTACTCAGTATTATAGCAATTTAGATTTAGGGCTTTTTAAATTCTAGATATGACATTGCCTCAAAAAGGCTGTCTGAGAGGGCAAATGTGAAGCAGGGCTTATTACAATGTCATGTGTCACACTCTGAAACAGGGTGACATCCCATCGCTATTGCACAACACCTTTGTTGGGGGGACACAAAACATCATTTGTCAGAGCCAGTCACTCCTCCACAGCAGGCAGGGAACAAAGCAAACATCCAGACAACCAAAGCTGATACCAGGGGCTCCCATACTGCAGGTCCATCTGCCAAGGCCGTTCATCTCCCTCCAAGCACGTCCAGCTTGGGGACCTACACAGTGCTATTGTGAAGACACTCATGGCCAGTCCACTAAATGCCTTCAAGGAACAGCATCTGTCATGTGTAAATGTCTCTCCTGCCGCTCCTCTTTAGATGTAGGAGGTTGAGGACGCTGGAGTTTTGGCTCCCACAGCCTTGGATCAGGCGAGTTTATTCCCCATGATGACTGTGATTGACACGATGGTGGCTTCTGAAACGTGTCCATATGCCACAGAAAAAAAAATGCAGCACACTAAGATATGGCCAATGTCGGCTGATGCACATTAGGAGCCCAAGTGCTAAAGCTGCCCTGATTCCTTAGAAACAACAAGAGCTAGTTCTTCCCGTGGGTGGTCTGACTGAACTGGCTGTCTGAAGAGGGGATGGCTGGCAATGGAATCGCTAATGTGGGGGATTGCCCTAGAACTGCACTCACTGCCATCGAGCCATTAGGGACAGCAGTTGTATTCAAGATACTAGGGATCTCACTAGTAGTTTGTATTTTAAAATAGACTAAATAAAACACTGGTAAAACAATTCCAATCAGAAGCATGATAAAAACAGCATTCCACCTCTGAATTCCACAGTCTGCACCGTTTGTAGGTATCTTCGGAGGAGTCGGAAGCAATGGCTGACTGGAGGTCTCTATGCAGCAACTTTCACTCAAAAAGATTTCTGACTGCACTGCATGCTCAATATTCTGGTCAATGCCCTTAAAGAAATCCGTCAGTGGGTTAGACGAGGCACCGGCACTGACAGCTGCTCTGTCTTGGTCTGGCTGCTCCTCGAAGGTCACTCTGGTCTCTGTAGATGAGCTCAGGAGGGGTCTGAGTTCTTTGTGGGTCTCTGTTAGGATCCCGTGGTTTTTCACTGGAATCTTAACAGATTTCAAAGCATATAAGTCTTGTTCTCTGATGAAGCTGTTGACTTTCTTGATATCTGCAACCTAGGGAAGCCATGAAGACAAACATCACAAAATGATGTAAAGCTCCTTAAAACTAATGTCCAAAAAGTGGTGCTTAACCTTTCTGCATGATGGTCCAAGCCCACACAGCTTAAGAATCTGATGAACACTGGAAAACTGTAACTACACACAAAATTTAGTTTAGGCTGAATAACTTCATTTTTTGGCTTTAACTCAGCCTTAATGTATAGCTTAATCATAAGATTTTTTTATAGACTTACAAGTTTGAACAACTCAAGATTAGTTTTGGAAAAGACATTGTTTGTTTAAAGTGTGCCTTCAACAAAATGCTTTTAGGTGAAACACATCATGGTAAAAGAAGGCTGTACCCTTTCTACATTTAACTTTTGAGAAAACAGTGCCTCCATCTGGGTGACTCTCTCCTGCACTGGAACTTAATTTAGTAGCTGTAGTAGACATTAGCATTCAGCAAACACAAAGCCTCAGCCAGCTCTACAAACACTAGAACCTAGTTCACCTGTAACAACATTTTAAAAGGTGTGCCCTCATGATTATACGACGTTTTCTTTCCCAGAAGCACTGTATGGCCTATAAACTTATTTTTAAAATAAAAGCGACCTAGAGTTAATTCACTTCAAGGATTTCACAACACTTCTTTTCACTAGAAACATGCAGAGAATATGCATCAACTTGAAAACTATAGACTGAAATCTTCTATTCCAATATTAGGACTTGAGGAGAAAGGAACACGACTGTGAGTTTTAAAAAGTAACAAAGTTTATGACAAATTCCTCTCATAATCAAACCTTAATTTTTAAAAAGTAGGGGGAAATATAAGTCAAAGATAGATCCTCCCTCAAGTTATTGTTTGAAAACTTACCAAAAGCATCAGAGATGGACTCTAAGGTTCTAACTCCTAAGTCCACTTAAACTAGAGTGTAAATACAGCCAACAGACTTTATTCAAATCAATCATCTTCATTATTTTCATTACTTAGCAAGTGCTTTTATCATTTAATTGAATTGGGGTGGTGGACATTTTTAATTTATTATATCCTGAAACTTAAGTTGCTTGAGATATTTTTGTTTTTGATCCTAATAAACATTAAATTTATTTACTTCAAATAGAAAACTAATCACTTCTTAGATACATTATATAGTCCTTTTGGATTTATTAAACATCACTGTTCCAAGAAGCCTACTGCATCTATTCAGGTCTTTGTAGGAGAGGATTCAGTTTTCAACTCTTGCTCTATAAACCATATAGTATGTCTACAGAAGCTGATAATAAGAGTCAAATATAAATCTCAGTACAGTTTACAGACCACTATGTGTCCCTGGAGACCAGTTTATTTCCCTGGGAAACAACACCTCCACACAACATGTTGAGTCATTTGATCCTTGTTAGGTAAATGACAGACCCTTCAAAGATGAAAAGGTTTTTTTTAAATAAGTAGCTTATATAGCCTTAGAGAAAGCCATAGTAGCAGCACAGTGCTAGCAAATTGAAATAGTTTCTATCTAGGAGAAAATGCAGGAATTCAATAAATACCTTCCTACTTACTTTGCCATTGTTAATCACTCTGAATGCTAAATAAAGAGAGAAACAGGGTTATATAGATACACAGCATACAAAGGATAGATCATGCAGTTCTAAAAGAGAGAAGGCAAAACTTTACCAATCAAATAAGCTACAACTAGCAAGAAAGGTTTAGAAAAAGAAAAATGGCAAAAAAATAAAACAAGCATACCAAAGAAATCTTGAATAAACTCTGCGTGACATCTCTGGCCCCATTACATCTTAAATAAAATGTGCTCAAAAGAAAAAAGAAAAAGGTTTCAGAATTTCATTTTGGAGGGACAAGGAAGAGGTGCAGAGAGGGAACTGCCCTGTCACCTGAAATTCCTGACTAATTCCCTCTCTCTCTGAGGAACGGAAGGTACTTCCACCTGCCTTCCATCTCTAGCTAGACAGGGGTATCCTTTACTCTAGAGCAGGCTTCTTCCAACCACCTCGGGGGTCAGAAAGGGTCCCCACCCTTCAGTGAGCTCCTCTGTTCCTCTAAACACAGGGACTGAAGGGCAGGTGGCGCCTTCACCTGTGGGGTTTCTTACTTTGCAGCCATACTGAAGAGCGAGCTTGTTGAGGCTGTCCTCCTGGGCCAGCTCCCGCTGCAGCAGCACCACGTCCCCTGCTCCTGGCTGGTGAGGGTGGTGGGCACCCTTCTTCTGGCGCTCCTTGCCCCGGGGCCGCAGAGCTACTTGGTGGGACTCTTCCTCAGAGGAGTCCCCGGAGTCCCCAACACCATTCTCAAACATGTAAATGTGGCTGGTCGGAGTCCTACAGACCATGGCTGGGCCTTGGAAAGTCTTGGTTAACACTTCCTTCTGCCTCATTTTCTTAACTGAAAACCAAACCCCAGGGTTAATTCCACACAAGGCATATTCATTCCTCTGTGGCTACACTGAAGTAAGTGTTTCTTGTTGTTAGAGATGACTCCTTTCCCTAATATAAATACTCAACACATACCATCGGCACAAAAAATGTCAAAACGTGTTTACGCTGGCTGAGATGAAGGGAGAGAGACAGGCAAATAAATACACTCTTTTTTTTTCTAATTGCATACGTTTTACGCAGAAAACAAGAGAGTCCTCTTTCTTCTCCCCTTATTCCTCATCCATAGCTATGTCTCCCCAAAACCCACATATGCAGATAAACAACTTCTCTTTTTGGTCCCAGAGTAGTAAAGAAGCAGCTGGGATCACTGCGATGAGAGGTAAAGGCTGTTCCCAACTTCCTTCCTTGCACAGACCCTTTGTACAAAAAAATTCTTGCTCAACACTTCAAGCATTCCAAAGTAGCTTCACTTAAGGTCAAGCCTAAGGTCACTTACTTAGAAGAACTATGAGACTAAATAATCTTGATTTTGAAACGACTTGAATTATATAACATGTGAGGCAAGCTGGGGGAAGATTTCTGTCAAACTAAGAAATTCGTCCGGTTTCTCACAGGTCCTTTGGCCTTCAGAACCTCCCCGTGTCTGGTTATTTTCACTTCCCGACCAGTGCGGAAGCCACAATACAAGCCTTTCCCCTCTCCAAGTTGCTCGAATGAACTTCCAGAAATGAAATCTCCAACCGGGGAACAAAAGCCTCAAAAAGAGCTGGCTCCGGGTTTCTTCGGAGCCAGGAAGAGGAGCGGCCCCCTCGGGACAGCGTGGCCACGGAGCGACACCCCCACACCTCGCCCCAGCCCCCTCCCCGCACTCCGGGGGCTCCGCCGGCCCGGAGGAGGGAGGGAGGAGGCGGCTCTCCGGGTGCCCGAGGGTCACCTGCGGCGGCCCGAGCTCGGGCGGACCTTCCCGTCGGAGCTCAGCGCCTGCCAGGAGCCCCGGCGGCTCGCAGGCCTCAGTTTCCCTCGGAGCTCCTTCCGCGAAAGGGAGCTGACTATAAACACCGAGAGCGGCCCGCCTCTATGCTTGGACGGGTGGGGCCCCAACATTCCACAAAGGCACGACCTCTGACCTCCACCCCAGAAATCTCGGGGCAGTCCTCGACGGTCTGGGACGCTGCACCTCCAGCTGCAGGACGGTGACCTCAGAGACCCAGGAGTGGCGACTTGCCACCCAGCCGACGAGCTGGGCTACGCCGCAGCACCGCAACAGGCCCACGCAATGCCCCTCCCACAGGCCGGGTACCTCAGCGTCCGGGATCCGCCGAGACCGATCGCAGCCGCCGCTGCTGCGCTTGCCGATTGGCTGCGGAAATCAGCAGGTTCCCGGGGGCGGGGACGGCGAGGCAGCCAATGAAATCAGCGGTGGGCGGGGACTGGGACGAGCCGGGCAGTGCTGAGAGGTCAGCACAGGACCTGCGGGGAGCGAGGCCCCGGGGCCGGGGCCGGGGCCGGAGCCCTGGGTCTGGGGCGGGGCCTCAGCTCCTGGACTGACGCTCGCCATACCCGCCTACCTGCAGCTACTGCACCGGCTAGTTCTGGCTCCAGTTTGTGCCTCTGCTCTAGGCTATTAAACACTTTAAAGTCTCCCTCCCAGCTTTCCGCTGAGCCTCGGCTTTTTCACCCCGCCCTATGTCCGTGGTCTGTAAAGAGAACTCAGATACCCAGTAGAATGGGTGTCACCAGCTGAGGCCTCCGGCGGAGAAGGAACCCCTCTTGGCTCGGTCTAGGAGGGTGAGGGGTTTCCGCATGCTGAGCCTTCTCTGGCCTGAACACAGGAGGAGTTTGCTTCGCCGCGCCCCGCCCAAGAGGATAAAAAAAAAAAAGTCCACCAGTGTAAAACACTGAACCACGCAAACACGGACCAAGGAAACATAATTTATCAAGTGTCAGATGGCAGAGGACTCCTTAAGCTTAAACGTGCTGGATGAACTCTTTCACACGCTAAAGCACAAAAGTTTAAAACTGCAAAAGATTAAAATCCTTAATTGAGAGACCTCATTGAATTAATAAGAAACACACTAAGATTCCAGTAGATAAATAGATGAAGAGCATTCAGTACACAATTCTGCAGAAGCAGAACACAAATGGCTATCAGGAAAGAGAAATTAACCCTCACTAGCAATCAAATTAAACCACAAAGCAAAAGGATTAAAACAATAAGATCTCAGAAACCCCTTCTATGGCTTTCCAACCCACTTAGAATAAAAGTCAAGTTCTTTATCTTGGCAGACAAAGTCCAGGGTGGTGTGAGGGCTCCAGCACAGTCTCTGGCATTCTACCTGTTCCTTTCAGCCACGCCCCACTTTTCTCTGGCCTTTAAACACCCAGATCTCCCGCCTCTGGCCCTTCACAGGAATGTCCTTCTCTCAGCTGCTGGCATGGCTGGAGCTTCTGACCCTCAGGCCTCAGATAAGTCACCTTCTCAGCAGGTGTCCACCCTATATACATGTGTGCTCCCTCCATGTTCTGACAGATCAATTTGTTTCCTCATTGCTCTTCCTGCTTAATTTACTTGTTTTATTGCCAGAATCCTCCTGCCCCTAATTATCATCTGTTTTGCTCACCACTCCCAGTGCCCAACTCTGCTTGCATTTAGTAGGTGCTCATTAAATAATGGTTCAATAGGAGAGACATTAAGTGACCTCAGTAAAGTACACAGGAAGGAAGTAACAGCACCAAAATCCAGTTCCTTCTGTGTTTGATTCCAAAGGCCCGGCTGTCTGGTCCAGAGCACCTAGCCATGGCCTGGTAGATTTGGCAAGCCTAGGAGTCAGAATTTAAAAGTGTGATTAATGGGAGAGGAGTCAGAACAGAACCTGCATATCTGAATTAATATAGTCGCGCTCTGATCAGTTATAGTCGCTTCTTTCATTCAGCTGTCCAATAAAAAACAAATCCAGATTCAGGAGGGACTTTTTTCAAAAGGATTACTGCCAGAGGAGAAAGGGACTGTTGCAGTGGGGGAGGAGGACTATTGCAACAGAGAGAAGGTCTATTATGCCTGCAAGCATCTAAGAGTTAGGCAGAAAGGGTTGCTCTTTTATAAAGAGGAATAAACAAGACTAGAAAGAACCAGGTGTGGGGAAGTGGGATGAAAGAGTGGCAGGACTGGATAGTAAATCCAGTCTATTCTCAGGTGGGACTGTATGCTGGCTCAGGCTGAGGCTGGGCCAAAGTTCATTCAGGGGCCTGGACGATGGAGAGAGGCTTAATGCAAGTTTGGTTAACAAGCATTTGTTTCCAATTGACCAATGGGGACAAGAGGCTCAGCTCATCATTTATGAGGCAAAGAAAAGAAATTTGTTTCTGACCTTGTCTTAGGTAAACAAGGGGGGCATCTGTGAGTCTTTAAGTCATATGGGGAAGGAAGGGTGGTTCTTTGCAATAAGCCATTTTCCAGAACACAAAAAGTTTGGGAGGTTGGTCTTAACCTTCATTGCTTTCCAGGAGCACATGGCTTGGGTAAAGTTCAACATTGTCCAGCTTATATCAATGAATCTGTCCGCGTGTCAAGCACTGGGGCACAGTAGGAAGTAAAGCTGGCAAGTCCTAATGGGGCTTACATTTCTAGAGGGAAGATGGGCAAAAACAAAGATATACACAGAAAAGAGCACTGCAGATTTTGCTAGAGCTTCGATGGTCGTGTCTGTTAACAAAAATTATCCAAACTTCATAAGGGCAAAAGGATGGCTGTGTATCCTCTCAGTGCTAACCAAGTCCCAGCTTGGTTAGCAGGCCTGTGCAAGAATTATCTGATTCTCTAAGGCAGAGGTTCCCGAAGTGTGGTCTAGGGACCCTGGGAATTCCTGAAACCTTTTCAGGAGGTCTGTGAGGTCAAAACTATTTTCATAGTAATGCCAACATTATTTGTATTTTCCACTTCATTCTCTCTTGATAACCAGTAATTGAGCTAACGCATATTGAGTCCTTCCTGAGTACCAGGTAACACAACAGTATATATAGGTATTATTATAATCCCCAATTTACAGATGGAAAAACTGAGTATGAGAGAACTGCAAGTTGCATATCCAGTATCCATTCTAACCTTTTACTTAGGAACAAAGCCCTAACATTATTTGGGGAAACAATGTGCCAAGCTGAGACTACATTTCCCTTCCTTGCAATGGGGTGTACCCATGTGAATAAGTGCCAGACAATGAACTGTAAGAGGAAAATGTTGGATGGGACTTCTTAAAATGCTTTTTAAAGGAGGACATCTGCAAAAGCTCTGTAAAATATTTTTACCCTTGCTACTGCTGCCTGGAATGATAATGTGATGGCTAGAGCACCTACAGTCATCTTGGATCATCTTGGCAACTTTGGAAGTGGAATCCATGTGCTAAGCATGCCAAAGCAGAAAGATGGAAGGTGTGTGAGGAAGAAATAAATACCTCTGTTGCTTAAGAGGTTGTGAAGATCTCTGTTAGTAGCAGTTGAAGTATTTCCTAATTTATATACTTAGGCACAGAGGTTAAGTTACTTGTCTAAGATATCATAGCTAGGAAGTACAAGAGGCAAGATATAACCCCAGACAGTGACTACAAAGCCCACGGTCTTATGAAAGCTTCTGAGCAGGGCTCAGTTTTGCTTTATCTGCTGCCCCAGCCCAGCCAGAGACCTGCTAACCTGGTTAACAGTTTCCTCTGAAACATACCCTAGTTTGGTTTCTCCCCTAGTTTTTGCCCCAGGCCCTTGGCTAGACTGGCTGAGATGCAGTTCTTCAGGGCTGAGTGAAGCCGGATAGGAGGTGTTGGAAAAACATGGCTCATCTACTGAAGTGTGCCAGAGTCACATCCATCAGAGACAGTCCCACTTCTTCGGCCCTGAGAAAGCTATGACCAAACATCCACAATCAAACCTGCCTACTCAGATGTCCCTCATACTCCTGCCAAACCTAGGCCATCATGTCCCTGTGTCAGCTTGCTATGGACTGAATTATGTC